AGACGGGAGCACAAGTCGGGGACGCGTTACTTGGACACGAGGGTTGGGTGGTTAGCGTTGCGATGAGTGGGGACGGAAGACGTGTGATGTCTAGATCGAGTGACAAAAGCGCGAGGTTGTGGGACGTGAAGAGAGGGATGACACTTCATATCGAGAGGGCGTGGAATTTTGACAAAATGGCGAGTCGGTTCCTGGGGACGACAGACTCGTGTACTGCTTCTCGCGCAGGACGAACATCAGGAATATTTGTAAGGGAGGGGGGAATTGTGCAAAGGCGAGAGGATGGGTCTGAGGCTGTCTTGGCCCAGTTGGACGATCCAGTAGACTTGCAGATAGACCAGGATCATGGGGTCGCAGTCGGAGGGTCGGGCCATCTGGTTGCTATCATGAAGCTAGTGGTCTAAATTGCGTAAATTGCGAAAAGCATACCGCCCGAGACATTAGTATTGCGTTGCAACTGTGCGCGATAGTAGTGGGGAGGGTTTTAGTTGTGTTATGAATGCCTGAGAAGCTTGTTTGACGGACGTTGCAGTCCACGTATGTGTATTTATGAACTAGCGACCTGCATCCCTTCATCACACAGAAAGCAACTCTAGAGGGATACAAGCGTACCTGACGTGTAACAAATGTTCCATCGCGAAGGTTTGTCCTCCACGAAGAAAGAGGACTAAGAAACGTTCACAGCAGCGTCAAGCATTCAAACAGAAGCGACAGAGGCGCCACATCGCAGCCTGCTATCCCGCAGAAGATATCTTGATCCAATGTCCCTTGCGAGTTTGGTACCCACGGATTCAACACGGAGGATAACTGACAAAATGAAAGGACATCGCTGTGTCTCAGCGTTCGGGTGCCCCTAATCCCCTAAATCCTCTAAACCCCTAAACCCCCTAAATCCTCCAAACCCCTAAACCCCCTAAATCCTCAAAACCCCTAAACACCCTAAATCCCCTGGCGCCCAATATCTTGTGGAGATAATGCATCAGATGCGTCAGTTGCGTGCGAGTAACGATGTAGAGGTACAGTTGTACTGTACGGTGGTTGCATTAGTGAGGGTGTGTCTTAACAGGCTGGTTTTTGCTTGCCTTGCCCGGTTTTGCCAGGAATACTTTTAAATTCTTAACAAATACCGCATGCTTCTCAAGCCCTTGCTTTTCTTAAACTCAAAAATTAAAACGTAGGAGCCACTCATAGCACGCCAAATCACCTCTTTCGGCAAAGCAAAGCAAACTGCAGAAAAACGGGGCATGTTAAGAGTCTTAACTCTTAAGTTAAGACACACCCTGAATCAACGGTGTGTTCAGAAGCGATGCAGACCGGCTCAAGGCGGGGCGCGAATATCAACGTGGGGAGGCGATGGATACACGTGCACAGGTCCACACGTGTGAAAGAGTCGTAACACGATTCGCGGGGAGAGTCCGAAGGACGGATATTCGTCAGTAGATGGAACACTGCATACTGTACTGTACGTGAGGGCCGTCACTAGGGGGGCAACTTTTTTCTTCAATTTTACCAAATTTCAAAATTTCCATAAATTTGAGCTCTTATCTACTCATTCACTGTAGGAGAGACTCAAACGGCCCTGACAAGACCATTAGTCATGTTTACTGAGGGAAGGAGCGACGACGGTGTTAAATACCGTGGAGGGGCTATGTACACGTGTAAGATACGACATTCACGATGCACAGAAATTGTACCACGGCAGTGCCCTCCTTCTTGGTACAGTACCTCTCCTCCTTCGTGCCAAGCAGCGGCCTGCCCAGTCTCTGCCATCCGACAAACGTCCTTCCCTCTCTCCCCCTACGGAAAGTCGGCGTCGTCACTCAATCCAATTAAGAACACCGTCTCTGCAAGGGGCATCGGTTACCGTGCCAGAGATAAGCACTGGGCGCAAGGGAAAGTGTCGTGGCCGGCACAGGTAAAACAAGCCGCCCCCAGTGAAATACTGACCACGATACATGGATAGGCTGTCCGATCACAGCCAGCAGCGAGACGGATAAGTAGGAGCGAGCGCAGAGGCGACAAAGTAAAGAGGTTGTATGAGTTTGTCGATTGAACAGTGGCAGCTGCCAGTTGCCT